TGTAAGGTTACATGAATAATTTTTTTTCTGTGCTGGGGATGGACTCCAGGGCCTTACACATGCTAGGAAAGTACTCTGCTACTGAGCTATATATCCCTAGCCCCTAAATATCCTGGTATATTTTATACGATATTGGTCATGATACAAACACACATATGCATGCATGCGCATACATCCAGAGCTCAATTTCTAGTGACCACTAACCAAAGTGGTGTCAATAACTTCAAATAAGGGGTGGTACAAGAATTATGTAGAAGAGCTAGATCCAGCCTACTCGACCCCCCACTGATACTCAGATGTGCTCCAGTGACCGCCTCTCAGTCTCAGCACAGCTCCATGGAGCTCAGACCTGCTTGCTCTTAACCCACCAGTTATAGCTGTCTGAGGGAAATGTGCATGGGCAATACTCTGGACCCCAATTAAGGCTTTGGTCCACAAGTCCCTCACTCTTTCTCTTACTTGCTCCCCACCTGCTGGAGGAGGTGCATGTCCACAAAGGCTCCTCACCTTGTGAGAATGCTCCCTCTTGTCTCTGCAATCTGTCAGTGATACACTGCTGCTATCAGTTCATGTGTTTTGTTATGTTCCTCACCTGACTGATAAACACAAACCCAATCCTTTTCCCAGTCAGGGCTACTATATATGGAGTAGCTACCTTGTAGGAATAAATAAATCAGACAAGAGCTAAAACCAGCTGCCAGTATAAACAAGTTTCCTTTGGGAGGGGCACTTGGTCACAGGTTACACACCTAGGTATTAGGCATCCACCAGAATGATGAAGTATCCCATAAAAGGTACTTTGTAAACATCCAAGGCCACCAACCTAGAGCCTCATCAGGGCAGGGTAGGTGGAGTCGTAGCCATTCTCCAGGGCGACCTCAAGACCAAATTATACACACTCACAGGATCCCGCAATGAGTCTAAGCTTTAAATTACTCCACCACAATTTGATGTTTTAGGAAACTACTCTTTCCTTCTGGAAGACTGTACCCCAACCTTGTCTACTTACTGAATTATTCATCCTTCACCATTCGCCTTAACATAGCAGGTTCTTTAAAGCCTTCCCTGACCAAACCAAACCCATACAGAGTTAAGTCACTTTCTCTTTTTAACATACTTCTAGTGTAGCACTTATCCTGATTAATTATAATTTGTTTGATTATATAACTGTCTCCCCTTCTTACAACTTCAGTGGAAACCCTTTAGACAAGCATATTATCTCATCTATATATTTAATACCTTAGGAATAGCAGGGATAAGACAAAAACATGTTCAACACCACTAATATTTATATATATCTTTAATTTTGATTAAATGATGATGATGACTCATGTACTATACTTAAGATATGATCAAGTGACAGTGTAATAAATAGTAACTTAAAATGAATCTGAATAGTTTATATACAGTTAACAAAAATATAAAGTATATTAACGTGTGGCCATCCTAGACTTGTATAATACAATGTACCAAGCAATGTAAGTAGAGTACCCCCTGCTTTCTATCTATGTACCAAATTTGCTACCTCTCTCACTGTGTATTCAGGAAAATTTTTTGAAAAATCATATACAGGGACCAGGCATGATGGTATTCACCTATAATCTCAGCTCTTCAGAGGGTGGAGGTAGGAGGGTGTGATCTAAGGTTTACCTGGGCAAAAGCATGAGACCCTATCTTTAACACAAACTAAAACAAAAAAGGATTAGAGTATGACTCAAGTGGTACAGAGATTGCCTAATAAGCACAAGGTCTTAAGTTCAAACCCCAGAAACATCCCTGCCCCGAAAAAGTTGTATATGTGTCATCTCTTTCTCCCGACTTCTCATTCCTTCCCTAAGCCTACCGAAATACAGTGTTTCTACCCACTTATCTGTTCAATCTGTTACAGCAAATGCTACTAATGACCTCTATGTTACCAAAACCAATGGGCAATTTTTATCTGTTCAGTTATGTCTTTGTTCCCCAGTATATCCCAGTACTACTTTGGCTTTTGGTTCCCCTGCTTCTTTAACCCTTATTTTTCAGCTGTGTTGGGAGAATCCTCTTCCTTTTTTCTTTTTCAGTATTGGTGTTTGAACTCAGGCCCTAACATTTGTTAGGAAGGTGCTCTACCACTTGGGTCACTCTGTCAGTCTTTTATGAATTCATTATTTTTGAGATAGAATCCCATTTTATGCCCAGACAAGCTCCTGAAATGTCTCCTTCCCCTACTCTCCATCATGCCACGAAGTTGAGATTATCACATCTCTCCCTGGACTATTATCATAATCTACTGACTGCTGGTTTTGCACATATCACATTTATACTACATTTTCTCCACTCCTTCCAAAGTAATAGATATTTTATATATGTACACATGTACATATATAGATATGCAAATCTGATTATACCAATCTATTTAAAACTCATTAGTGTAATCCTCATAACTAAATGTATGTTAAATTTCATATTTTGACTTACCTACCATATACAGAAATCTAACTTTCTGTCTTAAAATACTAACCTGGGATATACTCATATTTTCTATTCTATTCCATGTAAAATTTTAAAACAATTTCTGATCACTGGTATCTATTGATTTCCTGACCCACTAACAGGTAGTTAGTTAAAAATGTTTAAACATTTATCAATAGACTAAAGTCTGTCCTCAACAATGCCCTCCCTGTTTATTTTTGCCTTTTCTGTATCAACCTAGATCTAGAGGTATTAATGCACATACGGAGATCTCAATTCACAAACACCACTCTGTATAGAAAATTGACAGAAATAGGAAATGAATCCAGATTTTAAATTCTTCAAGTCACCTACAAAGAATTCCACTATTTTAGTCAGACAAGCACAGAGTGAGACAAGAAATTGTCATAAAGGGGATTCAAAGATCCCCAGCTTCTGCTTCTTGCTCAATAACTCAAAGGACACCCCAGGCAAGTTGTACTAGGTTAGATTTAAGTTCTGACAGGTTTCTACAACTGTAAGTCTGTCAAAGGGTTTTTTTAAAAGAATAAAAAAAGAAATTTTTTTGGAGATCATGACAATTATTACTTTATTTCCCAAAATTTCCAGTTCAGCATTGACTTTGGAATGAGTGGGACCAGTTAAGATGGAACCTTGGAACCTAAAAAGGCTGGGGATAACTCAATGATAGAGCACTTTCCTAACATGTGCAAGGCCCAAAATTCAATCACCAGCACAACAAAAGTAAAAGTAAGGAAACAAAAAGAAACCTTAATATACAGAAATATAATTTTAAATCAATGTTTATTTCTCAAAATCTTTCTCAGAAATTACTTAAATCCTAATAGAAGTAAAGTTTAGAATTCATAGACAGAAGATGTAAAGGGATGGACCATTAAGTTTCCTGGGATCTACCAAGAAAAGTTGCATCATAAGAAAATGGTTTTACCTAAGAACATTTAAAGAAAAAGAATTTGGGCATGGAGGTATATCCCTAGAGTCCCAGGATTAAGGATGCCGAGGCAGGAGGGTCACTTTAGACCAGGAATTTGAGACCAGCGTGGGCAACACAGTGAGACCCCATCACAAAAAAGTAAAAATGTAGAAAAGGAAGTATGTGACACCATCAAGAGAACTTCTAAGTTTTTACTTTATCAATGTAATTATAAATCATTTTTACTATGGTTAAAAGCAAAATTCTTATTTCTTGGAAAATACTGACTAAATATAGAAGATGATATTAAAGCACATTGAGAAAAAAAAATCTGAAACATATTTATTGAGCCTCCTGATATTTATTTTAAAATGTTATATCCTAAAGCTTATTTCTCCCTGTTCCCCCCTTATTTCAAATTATTTCTCCCTGTATATAATGTACAAAACATAAGCACTTCAATGGCCAACCAAAGGAGAAAATAGAGCACAGGAAAGAGATCAAATAAGTAAACTCCAAGTACTTAAAGTGAATTTTTTTTATAAAATGTAAAGTACCTGAAAATTCTGCAGAGTAGAATGACATAGTCAGTTCCAAGAACAGAATTATGTTCCTAGTAGGAAAAAATTCCATTTAATTTTAATCATTGTTAGTAAGTTGCCATAGCAAAATAATTTAAAATTTTAAATTTTCTCTTCATAGCCTTTAACTACTTTATCACTTTATTTTGGTTTCACATTAAATAATTCTAAGAAAGCTAAAAAAAAACTATGGAAAATCATCCAGAAGACACACTTCTTCAAAGGCTTTTGCTACAAACCTTGAAAGGAGGCATTTCCACAGTAGTTTTGCTGCTACTTGGCTGTAAGTAAGGAGATTGCCACTGCTAAGACATTTTAACTAAATTTTAATTTTTCTTATCAGGAGCAAAATTATATTCAGAAAACTGAATAGATTGTGCTACTTTGCAGAATTCTATTTTTTTACACTTTCTCATCAAATGCCATATTTGAAACTCCAAGTTTACATGTTTGATTTCTTCTCTATTGCCTGCTTTTCCCTTTTGTTGGTCCCTTAATAATCCATCATACTTATACCTAAGAATGCAATAATAAAAATAAAATAGATGGCCAATCTACTCTTTTAATTGTACATTTCCTTGAAATAATATATTGCAAACATTGGGTAATGGCCACCAACGCATTTCCCTTATTGACACATTCAGGTCCACCCTATCTCCCTCGTCTCCTTACCTACCTAAGGTCCTATGCTCACGGCCACACACATTCCAAACCCCAAAAAAAACAAATGAGAAGTAAATAAAAAAAAATGAAACAGAATAGTTGCTACTCCAGAGTCCTATGTTTTCCTGTCCTCTGATTATTTTGAATGCTGTAATACAGTATTACAAACATCACTTAATAAAGACAGCTAATCCAGAGCTCATGTTTCCAGATAATTTTACCTAATTGAATAGTAGCCTTTTTATTATATATACACCAGAGAAGCCAGAGTATCTACTCCCACATGCAATGTGAATTAATAAATCTGTAACTAGTGATCTGTGGAAAAGACGACATTTTTCAGTCAATAAAACCAATGCCATACTTACGGTGGAGGTTGGTGGGGCTGGCTTTCAGCATTTCTTGGTGTTTTGCAGGCAGCAGGCTTCGCCATGTCCCTGACAACACACCTGGGGCGCATGATAGACAGCACAACGCACTATTAATTATAAAAAGGGTAGAACACATCTGGAAATTAAACATGGTACTGAAAACACATTCTGAGGAAAGTCTTTGCAAGCCCCTTCAATATTAATCTTGAGGCCCTGGAAAGGCCCCTAGAGCTGAAGTCTTTGACTCAGGCTTCCAAAAACTCAATTATACCCAAATAAAGTCTGTGTCGGCCTCTGTATTTGATTTTCTTTTTAGCACCAATAAAATGATTGTCAGCAGCTTTCCCCAAACCCTTTGAAAGCTTTGGTTTCACCATATGAAGACATCTGAAAGCTTAAAGATAGGACCAGCTGTTGTGTTTGATACGTTAAAAAGAACAGGATGTTCTGTGGCTTTAGCTAGTTTACTAAAAGACACAGACTCTTGTTTCACACCACTAGTCACCACACAGGTCTTTCTGTTTACACAAATGGAGATCTGAGAGGCTTCAAGACATCCCCCATGATCCAAATTCCCTTCACACACAGGAGGAAGAAGAGATGGAAGAAAATGTTCATATATAAAGTGTGTGGGGGGCAGGGGGGAGTGTAAGTGTAAAATGTGGGAAAAAATCATGAAAGGTCTCTGTGCCTTAAATCTTCATCACAAAATAAATAAATGCAGAGGGCAGATGATGTAAAAGAGCTCTAAAGGTAGCAAGAATTGATATTCTTACTCTCATGCAAACAGGGCTTACAGAGCACTGGAAAGATTCATTGGCCAAAATCAGAAACTAACCTCTATCTGTGACTGTACTTAGATGACTCGAATATTCCGCCTCAAAACCTTTAAACCAAACACAGCTTTGAGTAGGGAAGTCTTGGTTGCAAAACTGAGAATCTACATTTTAGATTTTGCTAAATGGAAATGTCTCTTAGGATCCAGGACCCCCAAGCATGTATAGGTTCTTAAGAACTTCCACGAAGGCCTTTGACTGCACAGCTAATATTTGGGCCAGTTATTTTATTCCAGAAGTAGATCACTGGTGAGGCAGTGCTGGATAAATTGTTTTCCCAGAGCTAAAAGCTGCATGGCAAAATTCTCCACTTCTGAAAGAAATGATACAGGGAAACGTGGACACAAGGCACAGAAACGTGCACACACACTCACACACATTGCTCATTCCAAACAAGGTCAAGTAGACTCAAAAATCAATATGCAATGTGACAAGAAAAGAAAGCAATGCCATGTCAAAGCCACAACACACAGTCTTCCCAAGATAAAAGTAAAGAAACGTGGCGTTTCCTGAGAGCTATTGCTAAACTCCCAATGAAATGGTGAAAAACATCCACAGGAACTACAAAGCCTTATGTTATGTCCAGTTGCACTGGAGAAGGCCACCATGCATCTGCATTAAGACAACTTTCAGGGAAGTGGCTGTTAAAGCAATATACTAGGACTTCTGAGCCCTGACATTTTCATCTAACTTACACAAGTACAAGGAATTTCATAGCACTGGAAAATCTTTAATAATTTCACTCAACTAAAAATAGCGCAGGCAGCATGTTCAATCTACATGGACTCGTTTGTGAAATTATCTAAAATATCGCCAATTTGGAAGAATTATGTCTATGTTTCCTCTCTCTTTCCTCCATCTCAAGTTTGAGGTTATTGATACAAAGCTTTGAAATAAAAGAAACCTAGCACTTAAGAGTTTTCCTTAAATATGTTTTGAAGTGACTATTTTCTATGAAATTCAGAGTATTACCCAGCACAGGTCGGTTTCTAAGCCAAACATGTCTTTGTAAGAAAACTTTAATCTTAGAACCTAGTGGTTTTGTTTTAAAACTCTAATAGTTGACATAGTATTTCTGTCTGAACATGTTGTAAAATCTGACAGAAATTTCATTTGAATTTCTGAACTTTAGAGTTTTACTGAATAATGAAAACAAACACATTATACTTCAAAATATTTAGAATTAATTTAGATATAATCTTTACAAACAGGAGAACACCACCTTTTCCATACTAATCTATATCTGACCACATGACATACAATCACTACTAACATAGCTAGATACTGAATTTGAGATTTGAGGGGGAAACTATTTGTTTCAGATTGCTATTCAGTCAATTGCAGGGGTTACTCAAGCATGATAATATATATTCCTGTATTTTCTAATCCTACTTCTTTTTAGATGAAATTTCTTCAAGATGCAAGAAAGAAAAACATACTCTATGCTCAGAACAAGACACACAAAAATATAATATGATCACAGGATTTTCCTCAGCCTGTGTGGATTCACATTTCTTTAAAATTCAATCATAATTGAATTGTGTCTTAATAATTTTGACAATGCTAATGTATGGAAATTTTTCAGCTCCAGCAATGTCCATTATCTCCCATGCATTAGACTTATTACAATAACATAAGACTCCTTCATTCTTTAAGAAACACAGCAATGACAGTATATTGCAGCTGTATACATGATCCACTCCCTCACCCACAAATTAGGAGATCAACATGCTGCCGAGATGCTAACTTCAGGGAATGACCACAGGTTGAGGGACCGGGAGTTTAAAGGGTTTGACCTCTTATTCTTTGTGCTGTCTTTAATTACTCAGGGATTTCTCAGAAATGGGCTCCTACAGTCTTCTAAATGATTGCAAGCATTCCCTCACTTCTCAAGCATCATTGAAGACATATGCAAATAAGACATTCTGCAATCACCTCAGGGGAATGCTCCTCCTGACTCCGCCCTCAGCACTGCTGGGTTTTATGAATGACTGCAATCAATTCAATGAATGGCTGCCAACTGCCCACTCAGCCACTTCTACTCTTCCTTGCAAGTACATGCAGGAGAACTCACATTAGCACAAGCCTACAGATGAGGCTCTGCAAGGCTTTCATCTCTCCAACAGGAACTAAATGTGCTTGCAGATACTTAGAGCTTGTGAATTAAAAATTCTAAATGCCTTCAAGAAACACAATTTACTAATTACTCTCTCTCCTTTGACTTTCCATTTGGGTGCCTGCAATCTACCCTCTATCCTGCTTCCACACATAAAAAAAAACACTATTTTACCAAACTTTATTTGAATTTGAACTTTAAAATTGCCCTGATTTTATAACTGAGAGAAAACTACCTACTATGCACTAAACTGACAAAGTGTAGGCCATAATTATTTATGTTTCTGCTCTCAATCCTTCTTAATTTTTCCATCATCAGTGGATATAGCAATGACATCCAAACACTGCTGGGGAAATGAGTGTGTATGGGGGCTGACTTCCTAAGTGCTACTCTACTAACCCATACTAATCCTAAAGAGTTAGGGGTGATTAAAATAATAGAAGGATGAGAAAAGGAAACACTTTTCAAATACATAATCTTCTGATTTGCTGGTCTCTGATTAAAAATACGAAGAACCAGGAAAGGCTAGGGGTGTGGCTCAAGTGATAGGGCTCCTACCTAGCAAGGACACAGGCCCTCAGTTCAAACCTCCATATCACCAAGAAAAGTAAAACAAACTCACTACCCTACGAAACCAGGAGAAAAACAGACAAGGAGAGACCCCAGAGCCACCTTTCCTTCTAAACCTCCCATTCACTGCTTCAAGCTATCCTACAGTCTGATACAAGTCACAAAATACCCAAAGTAAAAGAAATATTTGTACCTCCAGCCCGATCCTCACTTCTTAACCAGGGTCACACATCCAACCAACTGTTTTTTCAGCATTTTCGTTGGGATATCTAACAGATTTCTCAAAATCAACATCTCCAAAATGGAACTCTGTCTTACTCCTCCTAAAAGCTGTCTTCATCTTCATTAATTGTAAATACATTTCTCCAGCTGTTCAGGCCCAAACTTTAGACTTGGCTCCTTTTTTTCTTTCACACTCTGAACCTTATTTACCAGACTGACTATATTTTCACTATATGTGCAGAATCTGACCATTTCTATCTATCACCCTACTGTCACCCTGTATCGAGCAAAATCATCTTTTAAATGAATTCTCACCATAGATTTTTAATGATTGCCCTCCTAGAGTCTATTCTCAACACAATAGCCAGAGTGACTCTCGAAAGATAAAGGAGATTCTGACACCTCTGCTCAGGATCCTGAAATGGCTCCCCAGTTTACTAACAGTGAAATACCAGTCCTTTGGACATCATCTGGCCTCCCAGAACTGTTGGAGCTCACCTCCTCCTACGCTCCCCTACCTCCTCTTGTCTTAGGGGATATTTGACCCAACCTTTCCTTTTGTCTTTCCTTCTTTCCTTTCCTGAAACATGTATGACTAAACCTTTTGCCTCTTCCATGTCTTTTCTCAAATGTCAGTTCTTCATGGTTGTTACCCTACATATCCCACCTACTACTAGTCTACTCTCCTCTCCACATCCACACATTGCTCCATTATTTACAAAATTTATGTTCACGTGCTTGAAATAAGCGCTGCTGAGGAGCAGCCATCTTTGTTTGGTTCACTCATACCAAGAGCCTAAAATAGTGCCCAACTATTAATAGACACTGATCACATTTTTGTTAAGTGAATAAGATAAAACAATAAAAGGCTATAAATTTCAAGGCTATAAATTTGAGTAACTAATTTAAATACTAAAATAAAATGTTTTAGAAGAGAATATAGGTATCATTTTTGAAGTTAGAGCATGTTTTATATAAAATATATTAAAAATATATAAAATTATATATAATATAAATTAATTTATAGCCAATAAGCTTTATGATTTGAATAACTCCACTAAATTTGTTAAAATGTTTAATAAACATTTTTTTTTCTTCTGGTATTTTTATTTTTTTATTTTTTCTTTTATTATTCATATGTGCATACAAGGCTTGGTTCATTTCTCCCCCCTGCCCCCACCCCCTCCCTTACCACCCACTCCGCCCCCTCCTTCTCCCCCCCCACCCCTCAATATCCAGCAGAAAACTATTTTGCCCTTATTTCTAATTTTTGTTGTAGAGAGAGCTAAATAGGAAGGAACAAGGTTTTTTGCTGGTTGAGATAAGGATAGCTA